GGTCAAAATTAACGATTCATTCTCGACTAGTTTCGGATTCTCTGCAGGAGTCCCACAGGGTTCGGTACTCAGTCCAACACTTTACAACATATTTGTTAACGACATCCCATTCCCTGAACAAACATACTCATCAACACCACAATACGCGGACGACATCGCCATTTGAAGTATTTCGAGCAAACCTGGTACAGCCTCGAACAGAGTCTAACGCGCACTGGACTCTGTATTCAAATGGTGCAACTCGTGGCGCGTATCATTGAACCCAACAAAGACACAAGCCATTGCATTTCACAAAAAAATTAACAAATCGAGGAAAAAACTCAATAACCTAAAGATAAAACTTAATGAAGTTAACATCACCTTCATGAATAAAGTTAAATTTCTAGGAATAAACTTCACTTCAAATTTAACATGGAACACGCATTTCAAGGACATTACAAAAAGAGTTAATGTCAGAGTAAAATACCTAAACAAAATAGCCGGAACAAACAAAGAATGTTCACCTAAATCAATAATAACAATCTAGCGAGCATGTATCAGGCCACTCCTGGAATACGGAAGTGCAGTAACATGTAACATGTCAGATAACCAATACAAGAAATTACAAACTTTACAAAACAGAGCAATTAAAATTGCACACAGATTGCCGAGCTACACACCTCAAAAATACCTACACAGCATTACCAAGTTACCAACAATCAAAAATCGTTTTACACAACTTGCCACGAAATTTTACAGAATAGCAAAAATTGTAACACAGAGACCAAACAGTTCAAACAATTAACTCTAACACCAGAAACTTGGAACATATACATATCACCATTCAACTACATAAACAGCCTAGAAAACACATAAAACACTCACCAAGTAACTGAAAGAAATGTTTTTCAGCTTTGGGCACTGGTCAGGTAGATTATTCGGCGCCTGACCAGTGAAAGTGGGTTTTCTCGGGATACTCCAGTTTCCCCCACAGCAAAATTCTGGGAATTGGACCACGGTCCTCCTTCTAGCCCTGAAAAGGGACCGACAGAAGTCCTCCTCCCCGACACAAAATTTTTAGCCCTAGTGCTTTATCCTACCCGCCGCATCCTCGAAGGCGCCGCTGCCTGATTTTCTAAGCTTAATGTATGCTCCAGACCCGGTCAAACCAAATCCAGGACAAACTATAATACTCACGAATATGTACATCCCTCACCAAGCAGCGGGGTTGAAGAGAAGCGGAAAAAAGCTTCTGAACACCCCTGGTTGTCCTCAAACACGTTGAGGTTGAAAAAACGTAACCAAAATTACCACCCAGATTATAAGTAACACCCACTTACCTGAAGGCGGAAGACTTTCGAAACGTCGACCTCTACAGTTGTAAGTTTCTACAACAGGCAGTTGTTGCCCATTTGAAATTTAGATTCATTATGAATACTCTGCCTAAACAACCTATCAAAGACTAAAAATGTTATATATAAATACACGCTTTGATAGGTCCATAAATCTATAGACATTTGTATGGATGTATAGACCAGGAGAACAATACTTTTAATGAAACTAGTCTAGCACAGAATGTCCAAAATGGTATCAGTATACGTTTATTAAGCTATAGCAGACTAAAGTATGTCTACTTAATTAAATGGTTATAAAAGTTTTCTTTTCATAGTTCTACAACTGCACAAGTATTAGTGGTAGTCAGTAGTTTTTCGTACAAAAATCAAGAAAAGAAAACGTATTAATATATCCATAGTTAACATATTCTGGTTCTGTTGAAAGCTAGGTATCATTCTTGAAATAAGTGTTCTGTACAACAACTTAAGAGATCGGCTAGATGTTGTTTTATCAAATGTGTTGATATACATAATAACCTCTGAGATAGAATTAACCGTGTTAGACTTAAGAATAGGCTTTGAGATATAGAACAGACTTTGTGCAAGTTGGGATAGGTGTAACAAAGACAGTGGCATATCTGGACTGTGAATCTGGGGTTCGTGGCTAGTGGTTTTTTGCTGCACAATTCTCTCTGTGAGTGCGTTAGAGGAGTGGCTAACAAGCTCCACTATTTGATCACACAAGAGTAGCCAAACAGTTGGTGGAAGGTACTATTGACCAGCTGCCTTTTCTTTCGTCTACCAGTTCAAAATCAGGGAGAGCTATATATACTTATCCCAAGTTATGTATTTATATCTGAAATTCTGAAACAAATAACACTTATGATAATTTTGTATTTGATTGTTTCCGAGTTAAAATAAGATTTTGTTGACGTTTTTGTGCTTCTGCAACTACCGTGGTGCTGTGCAACTACTTCCGAGTTAGGATATCGTGTTTCTATAAGTACTGCTGTGTTGAACAACTTCCTTCTAGGTAGGATATCGTGTTTCCATAACTACACCAACCTCCAAGTTAAGATACCGTGTTTCTATAACTACGGTTCTGCTATACAACTACCTTTGTTTTCCTAGTTTTTCATTGGCTAATGGTGATTAACTTGTTGCCATTTTGCTTTATAATACAGCTAGAACTACGTCACGTTTTTGAACACCAATAACTCACTCAACTCACTATCAATAAAGATATAACCAAACCGTCAAGTAGTCCTGGTGAAAGTCGTGTTCTTGTTGTGATGAGAATGTTCTGTTGTAAGGAAATGGTTGCTGCATATACTACAGTTATTTTTCTAACTGTCTGAATCTTAAATACCCAAAGTGTGAATTTTCTTATGGAATTTTGTTTGTGGTGTCATTCAAGAGATGGCTCAGGAGTTTTGGTTACATACATAGATAGTGACATACAGCTACGTCCATTATAGTAAGATATGATCATGTGTATATCATCTGATCTTCTCTGCTCAGTCCGAGGCAAAAAGACAGACATGATAACTTTGTGCATTTCTTAAAGAAATGCCCCCCAGTGGCACAGCGACATGTCTGCGGAATTACAACGCTAGAATCCGGGTTTCGATACCCGTGGTGGGCAGAGCACACATAGCCCATTGTGTATGTAGCTTTGTGCTTAATTACAAACATGCAAAAAAATAATCTTAAAGAAATAAATGTTATAAAATCACTCAAGGTTCCTTTTATGACGTAAAAATATAAACTGCTTTAAAGCATGCTATTATAATAGTAGATGTGACTGGGAAATCGAATAAATTATTACTAAGGCACAGTATTATAGTACTACGTGTGGCCGAGAAACCGAATAAACTATTACTAAGGCACGGTATTATAGTACTACGTGTGGCCGAGAAACCGAATAAACTATTACTAAGGCACGGTATTATAGTACTACGTGTGTCCGAGAAACCGAATAAACTATTACTAAGGCACGGTATTATAGTACTACGTGTGGCCGAGAAACCGAATAAACTATTACTAAGGCACGGTATTATAG